GGGGAGAACCTGCTAGCCCTTCAGACTCAGAGTCATGCGATGTTAGAGCTGGATGGAATCATAGAAATTGTCGCAGATTCATTGGATATTCAAAATGGCAGCCACTTCAGAGATTATCTCATCCAACCCTTGTATTCTAGAGCTTTAGAGATGCGGGCCATGAGATGGAAAGTGACTTGTCCATGGACAGACACAGTGAAGTAGTGAGAGGCAGAGTGGGTACTAGGCCTCCAATCTCCTGACTCCTGGTCCTGGGGTCAGAGCTGGAAGTGACCTTAGAGGTCTCCAGTCCAACCCACCCGTTTTCTAGTTGAGGAAATTCAGAGCCAGAGATGGTGAGGGCTTGGCCCCTGGTCACATGACTATGAAGTGCCAGAGGCAGGATTTGAACCCAGCTCCCCTGATTCTTGATACATTTCTCTTAAGCACGTCATCACTGGTGCCATTTCTGCCATGCCCCCTGCCTCCCACCTTAGAAGTCATGTGGCTCGTCTGGCTCGTCAGACCCAGAGACAGCCCAATACCATCTTGAAGAAGTCACATTTTCCCCTTGGAGCCCTTGTTTCTTCATCTGTAAAATGGGGCTTATAATAATAGCTGCACTATCTATCCTTTAGGGTTGCTTTATGTAGATGTGGGTTTTTATTACCATTTAGTCCAGCCCCCTGTTTTTAGAGGGGAGGAAACTGAGAACCAAGGAAGCCTAGGATGGGACCAATGCCACAAGCCAAAGAGTGATTTCGGCCTTTTGGAGGTGGAGGCAAAAGCTTCCTTTGGTGCTTGTCCCCCAGAGGGACTTTCACAGCTGAGTCTCCCCCAGCATCCCCCATTTTGGTCTGGGGCCAAGAGGCTGCTTTGTCCTTCTGCCCTCGGGCCTTTGGCAACTTGGCCAGGACCCAAGAGCTCACCACCTGCCTTGGATTCCTGGCTAGCACACCACCATGCACTCAAGTGAGGTGCTGTTTTCTCACACGATGTGAGATCCTTAAGCTTATTTATAGTCCTAAAGATGGCACTTTAATTCAGATGTGAACCATGCCAGTCACCACATATGCCAGACTGGTTTCTGCCTGCAGTTGCTCTTCAGGAGCTTCATCTAAAAGGCCTCTCAGCTTCCTGAATCTTGAGGCAATTGAGGTTCAAGGACTAGACAAGCTCCATTGGTCAATGATGCTCTCAGAGGCTCTCCTAGCTAGGAGCTGAGACAGCTGGGGTGACTTTACTGTTGTTCCCCGGGAGATGCAGGATTGTCAGACCACAGAATGTAGAAGTTGGAGCACATCTCACAACATAGTGTCAGGGCTGGGAATGACCTCAGAACACGGGACGTCAGAGCCGGAGGGGACCTTAGGATATGAGCCATCAGAAGCAGAAAGGACCTTGTACATCGAGTCCAACCTTCTGTATTTACAGTCGGGGAAACTCAGACCCTCAGAGACTTGCCCAGGGCCACACAGGTAGTGTCTTAGATGATCGTGAGGCGCTTTGGCCAAGGAGCCCCAAGCTGTGCTTGTGGCTTTAACAGTGGTTTATGAAGCTTGGCCCTGAGGAGAAACAGAGATTAAGTTATTTTAGGGTTAAGGTATTGAAAGCTGGCATGAAAACAGAAACATATTTTAGGCGTGGTAACAGAAATGTAATGGAGAGAATCAAGACACTGGTATTTTGAGAGTGCTGGATTTGCTCCTAACTAGCTGGAGGCAGGACGCTTCATCTCTCTGGATCTCAGCTTTATCATCTGTAAAATGGGCAATAGGATGGACTAGGGGGTCTCCAAGGTGCCTTATAGTTCTGACATTCTTCATTCTTAGATCTCTTCTGGCTCTTACAGTCTGTGTTCTCAGAACTGTGTTCTAATGTTCCCCCATTTCTGACATTTTCTGTTCTAAGGTCCTGCCCTTTTCTGACATTTCACATTTTATGTCTTTGACATTTGGTATTTTAAGATCCCTCCCAGCTATGACATTCTTCGTTCTAAGGCCCCTTTCCAGATTCTACATTGAAGGCCTCTACAAAAAGGAGATGGAAGGGCATTGGAAACAACCTGTCTCCTTCACAATTTGGCTAGGGGGTGCCAAGGTTCATAACCCAAGTCGCTGGCATCAGGAATCCCTACAACTAGCTCTGGGCCCAGTGTCTAGAACTTATCCAAGATCTCATGGCAGCCTAGCATGGGACTGGAAGAACTAGACAGAAAACACCAGCTTTGGCTAACACCATTGACCAGATTGTGCTGTGGCAGCAGAGCTGAAATTGTCCTTTAGGGAAGGAGGGGAATAGTAGAAAGTAAGGACATAACTCTAGCCTCAGAGTCTCCCTGAAGTCAGTCTCAGCATCCTTGGTCCTGCCCTCATCCCCGAGGCTACTGCAGCAACCTTCTCCTTACCTTCTGGCCTCTAGTGTTCCCCCTCCAAGCCATGCTCCACAGCTGTCCAATTACATTCTGGAAACCCAAGTCTTAGGTCGCTCCCCTGTCCAGGAATGTTTTCTGTCCCTCTACGCATTGCCTCTGATAAAATGCACACTCTTCAGGTTGGCATTGAAAGGCCTTGCCCACCTAGCCTTTTCCAATATGCCCAGATTTGTCGTGTATCCCTTCTCATGCTCAACGTTCCTGCCAGACTGGGCTCCTTGCCATAGCCTGGATTCAGCATCTCATCGTTCCTGTGCCTTGTCACAACTGGCTCTCTGCTTTTCTGTGCCTGTCTCCCTCTCTGTCTCCCTCTCTGTCTCTCTCTCTCTCTCTCTCTCTCTCTCTCTCACACACACACACACACACACACACACACACACACACAAAAACCCTAAAGCTCTGCTGAAAAGGGGACCATTATTTGTAATTTAGAAAAAAGCAAGGGGAACAATGGGGGAAAGATGCGCCTTCCCAGGGGCAGACAGATCTGGTGAGCAGGTGTCTCTGACATGCTCTTCCCCTCTTAGCCTTGACCTGCCCCCCTCTTTCCCATTTGCTCTCATTTAGACTGAAGTAGTTATCAAGTTCTCCAGATAACAAAATCTCCAATTTTATAACCAAGTCAGGTTCACAGATTTGCAGGCACCAATTATGTGCGCTCTCTCTCTCTCTCTCTCTCTCTCTCTCTCTCTCTCTCTCTCTCTCTCTCTCTCTCTCACCAATTAAATTTGCAGGTGTGATAATTTCAACATCAGCAGTCTCAGGTTATCTTAGAAGATATTTTCATGAAATATTTATGAGTCTCTGGGAATGTTAACCCCTTCAGCTGGCACATGTCCATGGAACCAGGGCATCTATGGAGTAGGAAAGAGGCTGGTCAAGAGTGTTCGTCGCTAGCAATGGGCTGTGTACAAGTTCTACGTCAGGCATCGAGGCTGGGCCAGAACTGAAGGGAGCATGGCGAGTTTAGGCACCACTTGGTTGAAAGCCTTTATTAAAATTCCCTAGAATTGGACTATTCCAAGCTTAGCACCATTCTTCTCAGTTCTTGGGGCCAGTCTGTAAAACAGCACCATAGGGACTGCAGTGCTAAGGCAGATCAGTGTGCTGTAGAGGAAAGAGACCCAGGCAGGGGACTGGGGGCAGGAGGCAGGGGCCAGGGGGCCTGGCTTCTAGTCCTACTTCTCGTGGTGACAAGAACTCCCATTCCCTGCCCTGCAAACTTCGGTTGCTTTGTCACGGATGGAGTGGAGGGGAATTGGAGGTCTCAGAGCCTATGCTCCGTGGGGGCTTAGGAAGCTGCAAGTTCCAGAGCTTCCTGTGATGTAACTATGAACAGTTAGTACTTCTGTTGATCAGCTGCTGAGGAGTGGAGCAGGTTATCTAGGTGGGAGAGGGAGCCACCCCAGCCCAAGTCCTCATCCTCTGGAAGTCCTGAAGCATTTGCAGAATGCTTCTCTCACAGCCAGTAGTCCCGAAGCTTTCAGGGTGCCTGATTCCTTGGGCCTCAGTTTCTTCTTTAAAGTGAAGGGGTTAAACAAGAACTCTTAAGGCCCCTTCCATCTCTAATAATCTGTGCTCTGTGTTCTAAGATCCCTTCAGGACCAAGGTGTCAGGGAGTGGGGCACAGGAGAAAAGAACCTGGATGTGGATCCCGAAGCCCCAGGTTCACGTCCCAGCCCTGTTCCTTGGCGTCTGGACTGTCACTTCCTCTCTTTAGACCTCGGCTTCTGTTATCTGTAAAAAGAGGAGCTTTGGCCAGAGAAGCGTTCAAGCTGGGGACCCTCCGGTGGGTAGTCTGCTGAAAGCTGGGGCCCCTTGCTCAAGACACTGTTTTTAAATGCATAAAATAAAGTGCCGGGGATTACAAATAAAACCAGTTATATTGAAATACAATTATCAAACTATTTTTTAAAAATCAGTTCACAGGCCTCAGGTTAAGAACCCCTGCTCCAGAGTCTCATTCAAAGGTACATCTTAGGATCCTGCAGTCCCTCCACCCAGCATCATGGTTTAGCACCCTCTGGGGCTCCAGGGGAAGAGTGAGGGTTCAAATGCTAGATCCTGGGCTTTTACTGTGTCTTGGAGCAGTAGATAGAGCACTTGGCCTGGAGTTAGGAAGACCTGAGTTCCAATCCAAGCTCAGATGCTTTTTTTAGCTGTGTGACCTTGGGCAAGTCACTTAACTTCTGTTTGCCTCAGTTTCCTCATCTCTAAAATAGGGATCATAATAGCACCTATTTTGTAGGGTTGTTGTGAGAATCGAATTAGATAATAATTCCAAAGCACTTAGCACATAGTCGATTGTTATCATCATCATCTCAGCTGGCATTGAGATGGCCTTGCTTTTTCAGGATCCTAGAGTCCATTGCTGGAAGGTCCCTTTGTGGTTATCTAGTCTGATCCTACCCCTGTTCCTGGGCCGCTCCGTGAGACAGCCTTCCCAGAGCACTTCAAGGCCCCCTCCTTAGCTCTCCCTAATACTGGATGTGCTATGATCTGCAGATATCTGGTGAAGTCTGCAGACTCTGCCTCAGGCCAAAGCCTGGCCACCCTCTCTGTCCTCACCCCTGTATTCTTCGTATAGGAGCAGAGCCCAGATGAGGAGATGGTCGAAGAGGATATGGAAACCCCTGTGGAGGAGCTGCCGTCGCACCTGCGGGAAGATCCCCACGAAGGTATTGTGCCCGGGGCCTCTGCCCTTCTCTCTCTCTCTCTCTCTCTCTCTCTCTCTCTCTCTCTCTCTCTCTCTCTCTCTCTCTCTCTCTCTCAAACTTCCCTTAGGGGGTCCCCCTTCTCTCTGCATGTGCCAGTCATCTTCTTACTAGGAAGCTGATGTGGGTGGGAAGGTGAGGGCTCAGCAGGGGCTCCCCTCCAGCAGCCGGGTGACAGCGTATACCCATCAGCTCCCAGGTGTCACTTGAGTTTAAGGAAAGCGGCAGCTGCCAGTGGCACCTTGTCATGTTGGAAATGTAGTTTGTATTTGGGAAAATCAGGGGTTTTAATTAAAAGCAATTATGTCTGAGCCTCCTGTCACATGGCTTGGCTTGTCGTCTTTGACAGTTAAGCAGAGTTGAAGCTGCTGGTGAGAGGGAGGGTGGCTCAGTAATTCCCACCTTGCCTTCTGCCTGGTGTAGAAGGGGCCTGGCTCCTGGCTCATCCTGCCAACACCTCCCTTGCTCCTTCTGGACTTTTGCATCAGAAGAATCACGTTTGCCAGGCAATTGCCCAGGAACAAATGAAATGTTCCTTGGTGATGGATTGCCTGACTGCCATCCCTTTCTCCCCATCCCCAGCTCACCCCCTTCCTTTTTTTTTTCACTTTTGAAAGTCGTTCATAGTTGAGGGGGGAAATTATAAGTGGTGATGTCAGCAGGGCTCAGAAATGCCTTTTGGTGAAGAAGCTCTGATTCCCACGGCCGGGTTTCTGTAAAAGCAGTGGACAGCCCCACGTGTCGCACGGGTGTCTGCCATGATCCCTTGTGGAGCAGGGCAGAAGAGCTGACGCTGGACCCTGTGAGACTGGCCCCTTGTCTGAGGGGGCAGCAGACAGCTAGGCGGTGCACACAGCGGTCTGCCTTGAGTGCTGATTCCTTCCCTAGACCATGAGCTCTCAGAGGGCAACGGCTGTGTCTGCTGGCATTACTGGAGAGGCCGCTTCAAAAAAAAGATCAATCAGCAAGCCTTTGTTAAGCACCTGCTGTGTTCCAGCACCGTGCTGGGCTCTGGAGATACAAGCACAAGAATGAAAGTCTCTTATCACAAGGAACTTACACTGTCATGAGGGAGACAGCCAACACATACACATGTGTGTTTACGTGCATGTGTGTATTATATACGCACATATATGTGCTTATATGTATAAATGTACACATGTGTATAGCATAAATATCAGGTTAACAAATACATATACTCACATACATATGCATACATGTATATATATATATACACACACACACACACACACACACACATACACAGAAGTCACATGCAAGAGAGTTTACTTACAAAGAGGTCAGGAAAGGCTTCTTACAAGAGATGGTGTGTTGGCTGCGCCTTTCAGGAAGAGAGGGCTCTGTGGGCCCGAGATTTGGAGGGGAACTTGTGCCAGGCATGTGCAAAGTCATGGAGATTTGTTTTGGGGTGTGTGTATGAGGCACAGAGAGAAGGCTCGTTTGTGTGGCTTTAAAAACCATACAGAGAAGTCTCTGTTTTATTTGAGAGGCACCAAAAAACCCCTGGAGGTGACCAGACATTGGGGTGATGTGGTCAGATCTGTGCTTACAGAAAATTCTTCGGGCATTAGCAAGTCGGGTGGACTAACGTGGAGAGAGACCAAGGCAGGGAACCCAGTTAGGAGGCCCAGCGATAATTAGGTTAGTCGAGTGGTAAACGTTTATTTAGTGCCTGCTGCGTGCCAAGCATTGTGCTAAGTTCTGGACACACCGAGAAAGGTGAAAGACGGTGTCTGCTCTCGAGGAACTCAGTCTAATGGAGGGGAGACAACATGCAAATAACTATGTACAAACAGGCTCTGCTCAAGATAAATTTGAAATAATCAATAGAGAGAAGGCACTAGAATTAAGGGGATCAGGAAAGACTTCTTCTCAAAGGCAGGATTTTAGCTGGGCCTTGAAGGAAGCCAGGGAATTGACGAGGCCAAAGAGCTTTCCAGTCTGTGGCCAGCCGGCGAGGAATGCTGAGGAGGAGGGAGATGCAGTGCCAGTGTCTCTGGATGCCAGAGAACATCAGCCAGTGTAAGGTGTAAAAAAGCCTGGAGCAGGGTGGGGAGCAGGTCCTAAAGGGCTTTGAATGCCAAACAGAGGGTTTGTATTTCCTTTTGGAAGTGCTAGGGAGCCACTGGAGTTTGTTGAGTTGGGGGTGGGGAAGAGGATGACACTTGTTCTTAAGGAAGATCAATTTGATAGCCTGGTGGAGGATGGACTGGAGTGCAGAGAGGCCTGGGGCAGGCGGGCCCACGGGAGTCTATTCCAGCAGTCCAGGCATGAGCTAACGAGGGCTTGCACCAGAGTGGGGGCAATGTCAGAGAAAAGAGGGCATATTTGAGAGATGCTGCAGAGGCCAGATCAACAGGCCTTGGCACCATCTCGGACATGGGGGGCGAGAGAGAGTGGGGAGTCGAGGGTGTCTCCTGGGCTGGAAGCCTGAGGGACTGGAAGGATGTCACAGTACCGGCCTGGAGTAGGGAAGAGCCACAGTCCATTCCCACCACAGAAAATCACCCACTGTGTGACTGCGGCCAAGTGGCCCAACCTCTCTTAGCCTCAGGTTACCCTGTGTGACTGCAACAGCTAACGTATAGATAGTTGACTGACTGAGTGCCAGCCTTGTGGTTTTTACACTGCATTCCTCACTGCAGCCCTGTGAGGTTCATAGACAAGCTCCATCATCCTCATTGTATTGGTGAGAAGCTGTGCCTTGGAGGGTGGCCATTCACCTGCTTGCAGGTGCATGCCTCAGCAGTGCCTTGGGCCCAGCTCTTTGTCTTCCAGTGTGCTCTTGCTCTCTCGCTCGCTTGCTCTTTCTGGCCCACCGTGTTTTCATCAGTGAAATAGGACGGTAGGACAAGACTAAAGGGTTTCTGAGCTCCCTTCCAGCCAAACTCTGGGGCCCACACCCCTGAACTGACCACTCATTACCTTCAGAATGGCGAGTTCCACCTTTCAGCCACGTAGTGGAGAGGAGGGTGGGGAGAATGGGAAGAGCATTGCGTGCCAAGTTAGAGAGCCTGAACATGCCACTTACTGGTGGTACTTCAGTTACTTCATCTGGCTGAGGCTCAGTTTCCTTACCTGTAAGATAGGAAGAAAAACACTTACACTGACTGCCTCATTTGGAATTGGGACAATGTAGGTTCAAATCCCACTGCAGACTGGCTGTGTGACTGGGGATCAAGTCATTTCACCCCCCTAGACCTCAGTTTCCTTATCTGTAAAATGAGATTGATCTCTAATGGCCTTCTAGCTTATATCTATGATCCTATTGATGTTTGATAAAGCTATAAAAATGGGACTGCTTTACTGACCTCCTCAACTCTCTTTCTCCTCCCCCTTCTCTCCCACTTGAGGTACCTTCATCAATACTTGCCTTCAGGAAAAGCTCTTCTATCAGTCATGTGCACCTTAGTGTGAATTTAAGCCACCTTTTTCTCCTCCCAAAGGAGATCTGAATTACAAGTCAAATTGCTCACAGAGAACAAAGCCTCTCATTCTAGAAAAAAAAAAAGAGTTCTTGCTTCTTTGAATGGGGAGTCCTTCCCTGCCCCCAGAAAGCCAACTAATTTTTATCCCCTCCTCACCTTTGCTCTCTGCCCAATAAATGCAAACTGTGTGGACTTCGGTTTCAGGTCACCTTTTAAATCTGGTTCTGACTCTTCCCAAGCTTTAATGGGAGGTGGGAGGGAGACTTAAACAAATCTGCAGGGATACAGTAAAACCTCATTAATTCAGACTCCAGGAAATGTGGAATTTTTAGATAATCTGGGCATTTCTTTTCACCTGCTATCTATTTAAAAAAAAAAAGGATTTTGCCTCAGCAAATCAATCATGTAAACAAGAAAGCAGCTTAGCCTCCTTTAGAAGGAAGGTCAGCGGACTCCTGGCAGAGGGGAAAAGGCGTCCTAGCCCTGCGACTCCACAGCATGACCTTGGACAAGTCTCCTCCCTAGACCTAAGGGATGATGCTAGGACTATATGAAGGCAGAATGTTAAGGATCCATGTCCAGATATGAGGCAGTTCTTGGTTTAGATGATTTGAGGGGCTGAGGGAAAGCCTCTTGTCCACACTGAGACTGAAAGGCCATCTCCCTTCCCCTTTAAATCCCAAAGATGGACAGAGCCAAGTCCATGCCTAGTGGGAGGGGGAGGGACGGTGATGCTGCTGTAAAAGAGCCTGAGAAGGCATGGTTGGGCAGGTTGTCAGAACCAAGATGACAGTGTCACAGAAGCCCAGGGCTTGTCAATAGGCCAAAGGTCAAGAAGGGTGAAGGCTGATAAAAGCCCCATTTCTGGCTGTTGAGACGCCATTAGTAACCCTAGAGAGGGCAATTTCAGTGACACTTGAATTGAAAACCAGGCTGTAAGAGGCTAAGAGGTGAGGGGGGTGTAAGGAAATGGTACTGAGGAGAATAGGTGACCCATCCTAGGAGTCTTGACTGTGAGGAAGAGGAGGAGAGATATGCAGAAATCACTTAAGGGAAGGTGGGGTATTTTTTGTTTTGTTTTAAAGGAGGTGGAGACCTGTTTGTCTGTGGAAATACCTCTCAGGTAGTGGGTAACTTGTGACCATGGCTAGATGGTCACTCATCTGGTAAATTGTAGAAGGGATTCTCTTTCTAGTACAGGCTGCACTAGAGAGCCACTGAGAGGTGTGCCTTCCAACCCCCCCTTAGTGGCCTACTCCATCTGCCCCTCCACCCCAGGCAGCCGAGATCCTGCAGGTAGTGAGGGGCCTGTCAGGACTGGAAACCAGGTCCTCATAACTCTCACTCTTCCATGTAGCTTCCCACCAATAAGAGCTGAAGATTATATAATATTCATTAGATTACTCAGCATGTTGTAGGAAGTCCCTCACTTGAGACTTACAGTAGCCCTATAAGGGAGGTAGTGCCAGATTTATTATATACCCCATTTTACAGGGGAGGAAACTGTAGGACAGA